TTAGGGCCAGGGATCTGAATGGGCGAACAGAGCCTCTTGAGCCCAGTGTGGTGCTGGTGCCACTGGCTACTGCTCAAGCTGTGAACCTTCAGGTGTGGGAGCTGAGGGGGACGCTGAGGGTGCGCTGGCGTCCTCTACTGCCACCTGCTGGGCGTCGTCCTCAGCTTTATTATGCAAAGCTTTCTGGGGCCCTAGTCTTGCCCCATTGGGTTAAATCATGCATTAAACCCCATCTTGGGCCGGTGAGGCCACACAGCCCATTCTTGTTGGCACTCAAAGTGCGGCTGCCAATTGTTTTCCAGTGGGATCAGGGGAGGTTGGGGTTTCCTGAGTCTCTTAGACTCTCCAGCCAGACCCTTGAGGGTCCCAGGCCAGGGTCAGTGGGAAGCTTGGTTTCTCAGGGGGTAGGATGTGGTGGGGAGGAGAGACCCTGGGACAAATACAGTCCAGGGAAGGGGTCAGGGACCCCTCTATCTAGTGCGCTCCAGGAATGAGAGTTGAGCCTGTGGACACGTGAGGCCCTCCCAGTGCTTGTCAGGATGGCGGGGAGTGCTCCTCACAGCCAAAGGCACTGGTTCAAACTCTTTGGCTTTAGCCTTGTCACATAACAAAGGTAGGTTTAACATGCCAAGGACCCTGTCCTCTGGATTTGGGGCCTCAAGCCCCACCGGGCCTGGCAGGCAGCAGGTACCCAGCGAACTTGCCAAGGGGCAGACGAGTGGAGGGCCACCCTTCCCGCTTGCCTCCGCTGGGGGCTCTCACCAATCACGTAGTCGCCGAAGCCCACGGTGCTGAGCGTGATGAAGGCGAAGTAGAAGCCCTCCACGTAGCTCCAGCCCTCCATGTGGGAGAAGAGCAGCGGGGGCAGCAGCAGGAAGACCAGGAGGCCCGAGAGGAGGGCGCCGGAGCCCGCCAGCCAGCGGGCCTTGGCTGGGTCCTGCGGGTGCACAAGGCACTCAGCCCCCATTTGGCCCGTCGGGTGCAGAGGCTGGGAGCAGACCGCCTGGGGGTCCTGCGCTGCAGGCAGTCAGAGGGGGCTGCCCTTGGGGCCTCTCCACCTGGCTGTGTTCTCCGGCTTCCAGCCAGGGCCTCGGTGCCTGTGCCCTTCCTGTCTACCAGGTCCCACTGTGTGTCTCCCACTGATGCTCCCCCACCGACCCCCGATCCCTCCACATCCCCACCAGTAACCCTAATTCCCAGGAGTGGTCCTGCTCACGCCATGGACCCCCCACCCTGGGGCTTCTATTCCCACCAGAGACTCTCACTGGGGGTAGTGACTGCCCTCGGCACCAGCGGCCACAGTTGCCAGCACCCCCCCTCGTTCCACGAGTGACCCCCCCTTGGCCCCTCACCTGCCAGGTTCCCCCCAGCCTGCGGGCACAGCGGTGCACACCCCGCTGCATGAGGTGCCCCAGGTGGTTGAGCATCACGAGGTTGAGGGGGATCCCCACCAGAGCAAAGAAGATGCAGAAGAGGCGGGCGGCCATCGTGCGGGGACTCAGGTTGCCGTAGCCTGAGGGGAGAGAGGGGCACACAGTTCCATCTCTGGGGGTCCCCATTCCTAACCCACTTCACACGTGGCAGCTGGTGTTTACCGAGGCCTTCCTGTCCTCTGCAGGCACCGTGCAGGGGCAAACACTCCCTCCTTCCAGATGGGGTCAGACCCTGTGTTTTACAGATTGGAAAACTGAAGCTCTAGGCGGCTCAGCAGGGTGCGTGAGCCCAAACCCGCCAAGTGTGAGAGTCTTCACTTCCTCCCTCTCTGGTGGGCAGAGGAATGGGGGTTGGCAGGGGAGGCTTTGGAGTCTCCAGCCCCTGCTCCTCTGGGATCTACTGCACCATTCAAGCTGCTGTCCCCAGGTGGCTCTGGGCACCAAAGCCGGCGCTCCTGTCCCATGCAGGGCTCCTCTAACTGGTCACCTTGCTTAGTCTAGCCTGGCTTTTCTCGAGCCCCGCTGCAGTCTGCAGCTCACCCCCTTAGGGCCCTTTCTTTACCTCTCTCCTGTCACAGGTATCAGACCTGCTTTGCAGCCTGAGGCTCCTGCCATCTCTCCTGTTCTTACTCCATCCCTCAAAGGCTCCCCCAACCCCCCAACATCTCTTGCACATCTGATTCTGTCTTGATTTCCAGAGGGCCCTTACTAACCACACCTGGACCCCTTCCCAAACCCCTGGGGAGTGAGGAGCAGAGGATGGACCATCAGGTGACCTGGGGGAGTTGGGGGGGCTCTGTCACAAAGACAAGGGAAGGGGGAGACTGGGGGGAATGAGGTGTTCCTAAAAGGATTCTCTCAGCCTCTTCCATTCCCCCCGCCTCTCTCCCCTATTCTTGGTCACCACTGCCTCATCTTTCTGAAATGCAAACCTGATTATATCACCCCCCAGGTCATCATCCTGTATTATTCTTCGTGTCTGTTGGGGAAGGCCAGAGTCTCGCCCAGCCCATCACTGGCTCCCTGCTGTAAATGGTCTGGTGGAGGCGCAGCTCCCCAGCGCTGTGCCGGGCTTTGAGGATAACCCACTCACTATATGAGAATGATTCTTTTCTGTGTCTGCTGCTCCTGAGGGACCTGAGCCCCTTTGGAGCAGGGCCTGGGTCTTAAATCATCTTTATATTCTCAACAGTTGACACAAGACTGACGTTCAATAGGAACTCACCATATGTGTGTTGCATGAGTACAAGAATGAATGAATGATTTGGAAATACAGGAATGAATGTGTAAAGAGGTGAACACATGCCTTACGCCCTGCCCCATATCACTGCTTAAAGTGCCTGACTCCACACACATTTGCGTTGTATTGAAACCGGTGGCTCACACTCACCTGCCTTACTTAGGGGTCTCAGAGAGCATGGTCTCAAGAGAGGTCAAAGCACGGACTAGTTTAGAGCATGGGTTTTGGTCAGAGGCACTTCCTGGGTTTGAATCCCAGCTCTGCCCCTTGTAGGCGGTGGGACCTTGAGCAAGTGGCTTGACCTTTCTGAGCCTCTGTTTCCTTGGCCATAAAATGGGGATGTTGACAGCCACCTCACAGTGTGGTGTGGAAATGAATGGAAGCAGTGGGGGTGTCCTGCAGATGGGAATGGGAGCCCTCGAGCATCTGGTATACAGAGGGTGCTAACTAAGTGTTTGTTGCATGAATGAATAGATGAATGATTGAACTCCACTGAATCAGCTCTGGCCTGAGGCCATCAGAGGCTTCCTCTAGAGCCCTGTCCATCTTCCCTCTCGGCCTTTACAGCTTCCTCCTCTGAAGGGGGGAAGTCTCTACTGCTGGCATCCAGCAAGAGGTAAATCTCTCAGGAAACCTGTCTGCTTCCCTCCTCACCAACTCCTCCCCCTCCAGCTCTGGGTCCCCCCAGGTCCCATCCTCTGTCCCTGGGGGTCTTTTCACCCTAACCTGTGGGATGGCAGCCCTTAGATTCCAGATCTGGGAGGAGCTCCATGAATGCCTTTGGCTTTCCAAGGCTGAAATGAAATGGGTTTTTCTCCTCCCATCCTCAGCCCTCAGGTCACAGAAATGGTGGATATCAATGAAGCTCTCATCTGCCTGTTAAATGCTCGGTGGCCACAGGCCCATCTAAGCCACCTCTCACTTCAGCATATCTCCCACCTGTCACCTCTTTCACTTTGCTAGTCCAGCCCTAAGACACTTTGCAAGGGCCCTGCAAGGTCTTCTGTGGTTGGGCTCCCCTGTACCTTCTCCAAAGTCAGTCCTCAGTTCCAATTTCTCCAGCCATCTGGTCCTCCTTACTGTTCCCCAAACATACCAGCCACACTCTACCTCAGGGCCATGCTGGCCGAATATTTCTTTCCCCAGTTATCTGCATGGATTGTTTCCTTATTTTGTTTATGTTTCTGCTTCAATGTTACCGTATCAGTGAGGACGTCAATGGGCACCCCATCTATAGTAGCCCAGCCCCCTATTACTATCGAACTCCCTTACCTGACTTTATTTTTCTCTAAGCACCTCTTATAACCTGAATATTGTCAGCCCCCCCTCGCCCCCAGGGCAGGGACTTGCCAGTCTTGCTCACCATTGTATCCCCAGCACCTAGAACTATCTGGCCCACATCGCGTACTCAGTCTTTTTGTTAAATGGATGGATGGATAGATGAGTGGACAAATGAGCAAGCTGGGATGGACTTTACAGATGATGAACGATTTCAGGGCTCAGGCTTGTCATGAAGTGCCGTATGCATGTCAGACCCTGTTTCATTCTCGGGCTTGGAAAGTACAGTTCTTACTGGGTGCTGGTCCCAAGGTACTGGAAAGAGCAGTGTTGGGTTTCAAATTCCCAATCTGCTGCTTACTAGCGATGTGACCTTGGGGAAGTGTGCTTCTCTGTGCCCAGTCTCCTCATCTGTGACTTGAAAATAAAAGCCTTGTCTTTGGAGGTTGGACTGTATGGACAAAATCCCAAATGTTAAAGTAGACCGTATATGTGGGGTGGGGCAGCCTCCCCCCTCCTCTGCCCTCCTTCCCGTCAGAGCTGGTTCACTTGCAGAACTGAGCGGAGAGGAAGGGACAGGGACATAGGCCAGGCTAAGCACTGGAGGGCTGCAAAGAGACAGGCTGTGAAATTCTGAATTCAGGGGGCCAAATGCAGAAGGTGTAGGAGGTGTGGGGTTCAGAGACTTAAGACCCCTACATGTGTGGCCGTGCCTCAACATCCCACCGCCTGCTGATGGATGGTATTTTTGGAATTGTTAGCTCCCGCGTAGCCCTTCTTGGTAGTCCTTCCAAGAACTGGCCTATTTAAACTAGATGGTGAGTCCTCTCGGTACTCAGGCCCGGCTCCTCTCTGGAAGGACAGAGGCTGGGATGCTGCTTTCCTGAAGAGAGGGTCCTCTCAGCTGGCCAGAGCCGGAGCAGGTAGCCTGAGCCACTGGCANAGGCTGGGATGCTGCTTTCCTGAAGAGAGGGTCCTCTCAGCTGGCCAGAGCCGGAGCAGGTAGCCTGGGCCACTGGCGGTGTCAGCCTGCCACCTGGTGGCGAGTCCATTGTCATGCAGGGCTGGGCTTGGCACCCGGGCAGGGGGATGGGGCCGCTTGACTTGCTCCCTGGGTCTAGAGCTGGGGGATCTAGGCTGCTCTTTACCTTCCCCTCACAGCAATTCCCAGGCACCCTCCTGGGACAAGTTCCACCTCTGCTCTCCTGAGGGCAGGGCTAGAGAAACTGCGGGGGTGAGGGGAGCAGAGGTCTGGCCCAGGTGTCCTGTACATGAGGGAGGGAGGGGGCTTGGAGAGGACAGTGATGGGTTGAAGGGGTGCCCTCCTGAGCTGAGCAGTGGCCTCCAGGAATGGCCACTTCTCCCCAAAGGCTGTTTTTAGATTTCCCATCCCCTCTTTCTCACCTCCCAACCACCACCCTTGCCCCACCATCAACTACCCCTAGGCTCAGTGTTGGGCAGATCTGGCCCAGAGCATCTTTATTCCTGTCCTGGGGAGACCCTCTGCTTCCCAAGAGCTTGTGTGAGGCAGAATCCTCCCAGAGCGGTGCTTCTCAGCCTTGCACACAGACTCTGGGGACCCTGGGAAATGCAGAACCTGACACAGTGGATCTGCTATGAGCCCGAGACTCTGCTCCCAGGTGGTGCTCACAGTGCAGGGACCATCTACTCTCGGAGTCCTGAGGCCCTGATAACTGCTCCAGAAGGCACCGGTCCCCTGTCCCTCAGAGGGAGGCCACCCTCCCCTGCCGGCCCCACCCGCTCTTACCAATGGTGGTGATGGTGGACACGGAAAAGAAGAAGGAGCCCATGATCTCCCAGCGCCCCATGCTGGTGGTGTTGCCGAGGATGATGTCCCCACTTTGGTAGGCTTGGATGATGCCCTGGGGGAGAGGCTGCAGTGACCACCAGGCTCTGTGGTATGACTAGGCGCCTGCCCCCAAATACACACACACAGGCACACCCACAAACTCATGGGCAATCCTCACAACCACTCTGAGTCCAGACTGTCCCGGGCCAGGAGGCTCTTCCCCTCCCACAGGGGCTCCCCAGGGGCAGGGACCATCATGGGGACAGCTCCCTCCCTTCTCTTTCCTCCAGAGCCCAGGTCAGGCCAGGATATCTCACTGGCTGGAAGAACACCATTCATTTTCTTCTCCGCTCACTCCCAGTCTTGCAACAAGCACTGGCCAGGCACGACATGTGGTGTTCTAGAGACACGAAGATGAAAGAGCCGTGACCTTAGTCCTCAGTGGGATGGAAACAAACAACTCTAATATGGTCCAGTCTGTGCAGCATTAAGGCGGTGCAGCTGCAGGATCCTGGGCTAGACACTCAGCTTCTCTGTGCCTCAGTTTCCCTATCTGCAAAATGGGAACACTAACAGCACCTACTTCATAGAGTTCCTGTGAGGGTTAAATGAGGTGCTAGGTGTAAAGACTTGGAACAGTCCCTGGACAGGGTACATGCCAGTGGTGGCTGTCATCATTATTGCTATGAACATAAAGCTGGAGGAATTCGGAGAGGAAGGGTGTTCATTCTGATGGGGGAGGGACAGAGGCTTAATGGAGGGGGGATGTTTTAGTTGGGCTTTCCTTGAGGGTCAGATAGGATTGTTCCCAGAGGAAGGACATTCAGCGATGGAGTAGGCTTGGCCTGCATCCCCGCACAGAGTGGTCCAGGAGGAACAGAGAAGAGATATTCAGAGGCCCAGGCCTCTGGCACTATTTGGTGTGGGTAGTAAGGGAAGCATTTAAGACGACTGTAAGCTGCGTGGATGTGAGGCCAGAAGAGGAGGGGGGGTGGCGGGAGGAGCGCCTGCTCTTGACCTTGGAGGAACTTCAGGGCTGCTGGGAAGCTGCATGTACATGCCTGCTCAGGGGGAGATCTCAGTTGGAGACACCATATCCTTGTGCCTGGGGATGAAGCCAGAGGAGGGTGAGTGAAGGTGTGAATGGGGTGGAGCAGGAGAGGGTTGGAGGGGGACATGTGCAGAGAGGGGAGCCCTGCTGGGAAACTCAGGAACACCCACACCCACAGACGCACACGCAGGCAGCTCTCGTGGAGCACCGTCCCAGCTTCCTGGCTCTGTAGCCATGTACTTATATTAACCTCCACGAGCCTCTGCTTGTCCATCTCTAAAATGGGGCTGATAACAATGGTACCTGCCTGGGAGGCAGGTGAGCATGAACCCAGGTGATACACTGGGGACAGTGCCAGACACGCAGTGAATGCTACACAGAAACGTTTAGTCTTATTATCGCCCCATCACTGTCACCTTCCCCGGGCCCAAGGATGCTCACCTCTTCTGCAAGAGGAGTGTCACAGCCTCCAGTACCAGGCAGAGGGCTGTGCTTAGAGAAGTTTAAAGGCGGGAAGTGGAGGTGCTACATTAGGCCCTCAGATAGATGGTCTTTGCCCTGGAGCTCCAGGCCCTGCTGAGGCCCAATCCAAGGGCTCAGGACTCTATCTGAACCCCAGTGCCCAAGATGCAGGCCCTGCCTTCCCAGAGGGGATTTCGGGCTAGGTGTGCCACTGTCTGGGTCCCAGGACCAAGCCAGGGCTTGGGATGTTAATGCATCGGTCAAATCCCAGCAACTCTCAGTCAGCGCCCCCTACCCTGATGTAGAGAAGACCTCTGTCCATCCTTCACGCCTGGCCTCACACCCCTCCTTTGCTTCCTCTCTGTAGGCCCCACTGGGTCCCGGACCTCTAAGCAGTCTCTGTCCTCAGGAACCCTGCGACCTCACACCCACCGTCCAAGTCTCCAGAGCTGGGGAGGCGTGTCCAGTCCCTGTCCCAAAACTCGGGGTCAGCTAAAGAGCACCCCTGCATCCATCCCTCCTTCTGTCAAACCCAAGTCTGCGTACTTGGAACCCTGGGACCCTGGCACGAGTGCCTGGGCCCCATTCCACCAACAACCGGGACAAGAGCACCCCGAGATACCCCCTCC